CTAATGGTTTGATGAAAAAATAGCTGAGGTTGAAAATCTTGATGCGAATCTTCAACGGTTGTATTCAGCACTTAAGCGCTTAGTGACAACGCAACAATTGGCAAATCTTACTGGTTTAGCGGCCAAAACTGCTGCCGTACTGAGTACTTGCGAAAAACGTACTGTTTTATCCCGAGCACTCTCTAGCTTGGCCGACACCGAGGAAAAATTTGAAATTTTGCGCCGAAAAATCGAATTCAGGTTTTTATATTCTCGCTGAATTTGTTAAAGATTATTTGGTCCTGTTTGGAGCTATTAAATCCGCCTTTCACGAACGTGTCAAAGATTTTCAACACTGGCAAAACGCCGAAGTGTAATTGACGAAAAGGCATGAAAATCGCAATCGTTACGAAATGGCTAATCAAACTGACAAACTAGGAGAAGCTTATCAGGAAGTTGAGGAGGTAAGAAAATGGAAGGTTTGCTAGAATTTAAGTACAGATAATTCAATAATTACTTTTCAGTGGCAAGTAAAAGTTCAACGTTGTCAGCAACAGTTTCAGGAGATTTCTACGGAAATTAAAAAAGAAATGGATTGCTTTGAATTAAGTACAGTTAAAGACTTTAAAAACAGCATCATAAGATATATTGAAGATCAAATGGCGCATCAACAACAGGTGAGTTCTTCGATCGATTCTTTTTACATCCATCAATGAGTATATGTTCAGTTTTTAAAGTACTTGTCGCGCCTAGGAAGACGTGGGAAGATAAATACATAATTTAGTTGCGCCAATAGCAAGCCTAACCATTTCTTGCATCGAGACTCAGCGGCTAACAACATATTACTCGCTTTTCGAAATCAAGCAAAAATTAGTGATTTCGGAAACTCCAAGAAAAGGTACTTAAACATAGCGAACTTCCTCCACTTAATATTCGATTTGGCAGCAAGAACCGTTTATGAGTTGTTTTATTTGTTGCTGACTTCGGTTGCTAACTGCTGGAGTAACCCTCGTAAGCAAGATTTCTATCGTAGATTTAACGTGTTTTAAACATAGATCAATAACGAAATTCGAAGTTCAAATTCATAGATTTTGTCCGCATGTCCGCGTGACGCTGCGACGGTCAAAGAAAAGTGAGCCAATCGGTAAATTTTACGCCTTTAACGGCCGAGCACTGACTATAATTATGGCAAAATAAACTCTGCCACATTTGATATTTGAATCTGTGAACACTGACCTGGTGGTGGTCGTGATCTAACCCGGCTACTCTAAATAACTTTTTAAACTTTCTCTGTAAATATGTGTATATATTTGATGACAATATTTAAAACATTGAATGAAAACCTAGAAGATAGAACAAAAATTCTCATTTTGTTGGAATAAATAAATTTTTACTTTCGGCGTTCCAATTCTTCCTCTAGATCTTCAATCTCTGCCTTATATTTTCTAGTAAGTGAAGCAATCTGAAAACGATTTAAGCGTTGTCATATATATAGCTTGTAATCAGTGATAATATAAAATACCTTCGTTTCGTAAGTTTGCGCTTGGCAATTTAATTGAACCTGTAAGCGTTTTTCACTTTGCTTTTTGCTTTCGGCCAAAGTAACTTTAAACGGATCTACTAATTTATTCCTCAACGTATCCTCCTGCTCTTCCATTTCTTCAGAATGTTGGGCACGTAATACCTCCTCTAGCTGTTGAAGTCTGGTGTGTAAAATTTGTTCTTGTTCTTCCAGTTGTGCACGCAATGATTGCAATTCTTCGTGTAAACTGAAAACAGCTTTCAAATATTTTAACCCAATTAATCCTGTCACCTACTTACCGTGTATTTTCTTCCGCCAAATCTTGAATATATTCGTCTTTCGCTTTATCGACTTCCTCTATATCATAGCGGATGTTTCCCATGAAATTCGAATATCGTGTATGATTTTTGAATTCTATTGATGATTTGAATATTATATTTCTAGCGATTGAGGCGAAGTTTAACACGTTGGAATTTTCTTCATAGTATTTATCCAAAGGTGTTAAATTGACTACCATCGTTAACTTTTCTCTACCTTGGAGTGCAGCTTGTAATAACATTGTAAGTTTTGACTCACGAAAAGGTATACGTCCCGGCTTGTTACCAGCTGCACTGGTCGCGTCCAGGCAACGCCCTAAAACCATAATTAATCCACCAGGTCAGCTGGCGTCCACTACACTTATTTTACAATTATCTGCTAAAGCATAATTTTCAGCATTTGTTCTTGTTTATCTTATTACTAATAAGCAGAAAATATAAAGTAGTCGAGTGCGAGAGAAGGGGCGTAGCTGTTAAAGTGAGAAATCGAAGGGTCATCACTGTTAAAGTGAGAAATCGAATGGCCACGGCTGTTAAAGTGAGAAATCGGAGGGCCACCGCTGTTAAAATGAGAAATTGAAGGGCCATCGCTGTTAAAATGAGAAATTGAAGGGCCACCGCTGTTAAAGTGAGAAAGAAAGAAATTATAAGCAATTAGATTAATATCTCCTAAATTTTTCATTTTCATTACCGGATATATCTATACTTACAGGATATATCTATACTTATACCTAAAACCATAAGCGATGTACTTATGCGTCGAGCTTCTTTTAGTCGAGAGCCAACATTTCCCGTTTTATCTAGTCATTCAGAACCGGCTAAGTCACAAAATTTATATGAAGTCTGCAAAAAATCGGAAAATAGAATGCATAGTGTGTTAAACAGTTTTAGATTGAGACCCTTTACGAATAGAATCAAATGGCATGAATGAATTTATCTTTAACTACGCGACCTATAATATGACGGCATTTGCTATTACATAAATAAACGACAACACCTACCCTCTTAATAACGCCTGTATAATATTTTAGTACATCCAGTAGAAAGATGCAATGGGATCGACTGGAGTTCGCATTTATTAAAGTTGATGCTTATGTCAACTTTTTCTGACCAAAACGCAATAATTTCAATGCCTCCAAGCTACTTTTTACATAGATCGATGTTGCAGAATTAATAAACACGCCGCCGTCATTGCAAATTATTCTCAAATTTTTCCTAGAAGCATTTGGCTGCACACCATATTTAGGAGCATCGCTGTCTAATAGATCATGAAATTGCTCATTATAAATCTCGATGAAGGTTACCCAAGTTAATACGTGAGCATCGTCAATGTGGCCTTTCGGGAAACGATGCTCGTTCCGTATACACTGTTGGAAACTTTGGTGCTGGCTTTCAAGCTCTAAGTTTTGTGCCAATATCTTTTTTCGCATTAAATTTCCTTTACCAGTCGCACTATCTTCCAAAATTGTTATGTGCCCACTGATAAGTTTAACGGAAGGATGTGGATATAATTGACCTTCATATAAGGAAATTACATTTTCAAGGGAGCGAGGTATTATTCCAGGCCGATGATCATCGCCAAGTAATGTAAACATTTTTCCTGATCCTGAAATTCCGTACCTTAGAACGGTAAAACTTTCTTCCGCGATTATTTTCTGCCCAATACACTTTTCATACATTTCATATTAACTAACGTGTGAATCGAATATATCTGTAAAACTGTAGTGCTTCTCCGCCGAATTCTTATTTAAATTTGTTGCTTCATGAGGTGGGGAGCAAATCAATACATTTCCTTCCTTAGAAATAGCAAACGTTGAAGTCGGACAATCTACTGGACGCAGCCTTAGATAGACGGATGCTCCCACTTCATTCGACGGGTTGGCGCTTGAGCTAGCGGTTTCACTAATTCCGTCTGCACTAGCAAGTTCACTAGTGTCATCAAAGGAAGAGTCGATTTCACGGTCGTCATCTTCTTCCTTGATATCATGAAAAAGCGCTATTCTTTGTTGTGGACGTGGTCTACAACGTCGATCAATGCTTGGATCACGAGGCATTAAGAAGAAACGAACTTCCCCATGTGTAGATTCTACTTCAGCCATATTTTTTTTGCAAAAATAAATTGAGAGAAACTATCTATTACGAGGTCACTTTCGATGCTATGAAATATAAATATATTATTTTACAATGTTCTGCAAATACTTTAAAAATAAAACCTATTCGAAAAATTTTTACACTCAAATATCTGCAACAAAAGCGGGCGCTTTCTAACAGTGCTACCGGACTACTGTGATGTCATTCGCCATAAGAAAACGCAATGTTAATGTATTGAAAATACGGTAACATACCACATAAAATTTTTAAGGAAAACTTAAAAAAAATTATGACACCATCAGAAATCCTTTACCGTTCTTCTTATATTATTTTAAAATTACTCTTTTGTGTAATACATTTTTATAAAAATTAATGCTACGAATATGTTTGAAATCAAGCACGTTTACTGCCTTTTTTCATATTCTGGAAAATAATGTATAATATAAATTGAAAGTTTGTAATTAGCTGTTAAATTTGTATAAGTCCTTTTCGTTTCATCTTCTTCCTTCTTCTTGTTTTATTTATTTGTACACTTATAAAAACTTGATTTACTACTTAGGCTCGTAAAGGAACTTTTCCAACAATAAACATATATAGAACTTATTAAGAATAAAAACTATTGGAAAAACTATTTGAAATGTAAGCAGTAGCACGTCCATTACAAATGTGAACAAATTTTGAATATGTAACTACAACCACACACGGTACAAGCTTTACAACAAAAACACACACAAAAAGCTTTGCAAATATAGTGGTTTTAACAAGGTTATTATTTACAAAATCATAAATTGATGTTGTTAAACATAACTCTCTGATTTTATGTTTCTTTTTTCTACAAGGTATTAGTAAATACAGTTCATATTAGCATCAAATGTCTTTAAGTATTATCTTAGAATCCGATTCCAGTGCCAAGTAGCCCTTTGGAGACATCGTATGATTAACCCAACATCGAAACAAAGCTTCATTGTGCCAGCAGCATAGAAAAAATCACGTTTGTTAAAGTTAGAAAAAGCGACGTCCGGTTTTGTTAACGTTTACATTTTTTTTTACTGTGGCATCTCAAGTAATTACTTCTTCGGATAAACAAAAAATAGAAAGTTCACAGAAGAAAAAAATGGAAGAATTTAAAGGTTCAGAAAAAATTTTATATATTTGGTCGCAATCCACAAATTTAGAGGAAAAAGTAAATCAGATTACGGCTTGTACAGGAGGTACAGTGCAAGTGGAAAAGTTCGATCGTCTATCTTTAGGTATATATCGAAAATTGTGTTTGAAATGAGTTGGTTAACTTGCATTTGTCGCAAAAATTTGTCTCTTAAAATTCGCTTTAGCTTCCTATCCCAGTGCCTGTTTCGATTTAATTATATTGGAAAACGATCAATTAGCAGACGGCTTTGACAAATTTTTATATCTGCTAAAACCAGAAGGCATATTGCATTTGCTGAGTTTTGTAAGCTCAGAGAACAGTATTTTACAAGAATTGAAGCTATCTGGATTTATTAGCAGCAGAGTTGCTAATAATACTACAGTTACTTGCGAGAAACCTAAGTATGAAACCGGTTCAGCGGTTAAATTATCGTTTGCCAGAAGCGTAAATACGGCAGCTGTTTGGAAAATTGATGACTATGAAGGCATCGATGATGATCTCATTAATGAGGATGATTTACTAGATGAAGAAGATAAAAAAAAGCCAAATCCTGAAACTTTGAAAGGTAAGTGGTGCACATTTTTGATGAAGATGAATGAAATTCTCGTTGTGCTTAGTTTGTGGTACTACTGGTAAACGAAAGGCATGTAAAAATTGTATTTGCGGCTTAGCCGATGAATTGGAGGCTGAAAGACAAAAATCCCACGTGAAAACCCAAAATGCGAAATCCAGTTGTGGCAATGTAATTTCTTTTACAGAACATTCTTATTTTGTTTATAAGACAATTTTGAAATTGCAGTGTTATTTGGGCGACGCATTCCGTTGTTCCACTTGTCCTTATTTAGGAAAGCCCGCTTTCAAACCAGGTGAAAAAGTAGAGCTGGCGGATCGTTTACTTAATCCGGATATCTAATTATTAAAGGCGATGAGAAAACCAATAAGATGACGAATCGAACAAGGTTCCTTGCATAAACCGTCAACATAATTTTTTACGATGCTTCGAAATCTGAAAAAAACGCAAATATATCGATTTTGTGCATCATGGTAAATTTCGTTGCTTAGAATGGATACAGAAACTTTGTAAAATTAAAATTGATGTAAAAAAACTTTTTTTGTTGTGAGATTTGGTAGGTCAACGTTTGGTTACGTAGACATTTACGCGTTTAAATATATCAAAATTCTTAATAATTTGCGTATCAAAATTCGTAATAACGTGGTTATGACCATTTACTGTAAGTTAGTTGACGATATTCCAATACATCGAGCACATGATGTCGCTTGGGATTGCCCATAATCGTTTGGGGTTATATTAATTTTGTCAAAACGAAGGAAGTTTCCTAGATCCTACAAAGTATATTCTTGGTCAGCATCAAAGTGTGAACCGTTTGAAGTATGTCCACAAGGCGGTCTGTCAGCACTCTCCCATTTTGTTCCACAGTTGCAACAATTCCTTTAAGAAAATAGAAAATTTCATTTAACGCAACTTGATTACGGACCGTCTTTCTAAAGTTGATCTTCCTTCCGATTTACCTTCAATCCAAAGTGCCTTTCAGTCTGTGATCAGGTCTGCTAGAACCAACTTTCCTGACATTGGGTCCTTCTCACCTAAACCTTGGTAGAACTTGTAACGGCCGCGAACAAACCTTGGGTAGGGTGTCTGTCGGTTTGTGTCAACCGCAAGCGGCGCAATAACGGCACGCCGTTAGGCAAAATCATGCGATTTTGTGATACCGCTAATAAATCGCATGATCTTGCGGTATATGTGTTTATTTTTTTTCTTTTCTGATCTCCTTGCTTACAAGTACAGGCAAAATCGTATGATTTTGCGGTACCTTTGCTTGCTTTTGCAAGTACAGGC